AAAAAAAACAATGAATATATTTTCTCATAATAAAATACAAGTTTTTCTAAAATCTTTCGTGAATATAATTGCATATAAAGTATATATTGTTGGAAATATTTTGTAGGATGTGATTGTTCTTTTCGCTAAGCACATAATCATACTGTTCCTTTTTTTTCTATTAAACACAATCTGAAAGAACTCCTGAAAAATAGAAACAAAAATTATGTTACAATTATGGATGGGTTAGAATGAATTGTACTAAATGCTTTTATTTATTTTTTCGTTCATCTACTTTTGCTAAAAATATTCATCTAAACATTGAAAAGGATGCAAATCTGTTTAGTCATTAAACTGTAATTTGTGATTTTCGACTGACATTTAATAATTTTTAAAAGCTTTTCCGACAAAATCATGTAATTATTATAGTGAGTAGTGACAAATGTAGGCTATTTTAAGACTTAAAAAGAAACTATGATCTAGATTCATCAGGAAAACAGCTTTTTCTCTGTTTTCGTATGTTTTTCTTAGAAACTGTTCTTTTTTTTCACAAATCGGCAAAGAATAAAATCTTAACCTGTATAAAATTTAATATGAGAAATATTAGGATATATTTCATTTAGTCGCTCAAGAAATAAGTACGTAAAGAGATGGATGCAAACCAATCGAAATATCTTGAATATGTGGTCAAATAAAATATTTGTCTCAAAACTAAAAGAAAAAATCATATTAAAAAGTTATATATATTCTTGCAGAACAGATTATCTTACTGTAATTCATTCATAAAATCAAAATTGATGAAATTTCAAAGGAATTTATTATTTTTTCAATGTTCCTCGACAATAATTTACATATGAACATGAAGTTTAAATTTTTGGATGCGACTTAAATTATTAAGTATCCATTTCATATAGGCGAATTCGAAATCATTATGGGCGAAAACTTTTAAAGTCAAATAATGCAGTTTTGGTACCAAGAGTTAGTAGAAAAACAAAAAGACACAGGAAAACCATCATTTGAATAAATTGTTCCTATTAGAAATCAATTTTCTCTGATGTTGAGAATGTGGACGTAGACGAGAGTACAATGAATATCAAAGTACACGCATTATCACCCTAATCAAAAGATTGCGTTTGAAATTCTCTACAAAATCATACATGATTGGAACCAAAGATTGTTTTACACATGTGTTGAAAAAGTGAAGATTATGGATGTACAAAAAAAGCTGTAAAAATCCAATATGAAAATTTTTATGGATCAGCAAAATTTTATCATGATTTATCCGCGATAGTTTCATTAAAAACGATTTAATGCTAAACAAAAAATGATCAACAACACTATCTCTATAGAGTTGTTACACTGTTTTCGATCGTTCAGGCTCAGTTCAAACAAAACTGACTGTCTTGAAGATCAAATGGCATCTGCTCTTCACAAAATAGTTGTCAATAAGAAAACTAAGTATTGAAACAAAGTGTACATCGTTTGCTATCACATGAGAATCTTAGCTTTTCTTCCATATAAGAAGGTCAAAGAGTCGACTTAAAGTGGTCTGCTTAAAGAGTACGATAATGTCGCAAACTGAATGCTAGCGGAATTTGTTAATTTAATGTTCTGTAAAAAGACTAGAAAAAGAAACTAGTTTAAGATTTGTACTTGTTTTCAATGCAAAAAAACAATGGAGGAACTTGTGTTTAGAGAGAGTACAGAAGAAATATGAAACATACTAGGAGAACAATATATTTTGTACCATCAAATTTTAAATGATTTCAGTAAAGATGAAAAGTTAATCATAATGAATTCATCTCACCTTTTCAAATAAGTTTCCATTTGATTTTGTTAATGTTTCAATATCTGACTTGAATTGTAGTTCAAAATACATCAGTTGTTAAAAAGCAATTGACAATCGTTCAATGTTGGATATATATTCAATAAAATGTTCAAGAAAGCATGTATATGTAAGACAAATATATAAATAACGAATTGTCAAACAACAGAATTGAATTTGATCAGTCATTTCACTTGATAAAGGAATAGAAGATGGCATTAAACATTGATGAATATTAATAGGCAAATTATCATCAGAAATATTGAGCCGAATGTGTGTTAATTGACATTTATCAGAACAGCAATTGATATATCAACTATTTAAATCAACGAAAAAAACATGGTAAATAGAATATTTAATCTACTACTCTTATACATATAATTTATTTTTATTTTCAGAGACCTCACTTAATATCTCAGGTTTGCGGCACCACATATTTCAGAGATGCAATATTCTTTTAAAAATAGTTACTGTTCAAAAACGTCTTAATTCGAATATATAGAATCTCAAATTCTGAAACTGCATATATATTCAATGTTGAATATGTGATTCACTTACGTAGAAGCAGTTCAAAGACGAAATTCGAAAATGTGAGTTTCTTGGAAATCAAATATGTTGAGATTTATCACTAAATCAAGATGTAATATCCACAGGCAAAACAATCATTGCAATTAGAATGAAGAATCTGGAAAGATCCTCTCGTTAGCGTTTACAAATTGTTGGAAATATCCGCAAAAAAGAAATTCGTTCGAAACAGCGTGCCAAAGCACATTTGTTTTTTGTTATATTGCATTTACGTGATCTAGTGATACAGTGTTTGATACTATTCAAATCAATGAAAGTTATAGTAATTGAATGAAACTTGTATAACAAACTAAAAAAAAAACTTATTTTACTATTGCTACAAGTGTGAAATACTGAACCTCATCTATTTTTTCGACCTCTGATTGCTGAAATAATAATGTCCTACCACAATGTAGTTCAATCGAGACTAGACAATGTCGTTTTATCAAATATATCCATTGGATAAAATTTTCAAAGAAGTCTTACTTTATTTAATGCTGATCAATTAAAAAATTATATGTGTGGATCTCAGCTTTGTATAAATTTTATCTAAAGAAGTATACATCTAAGAGAATAGCTACAGTGATACGAGTATAAGCATATGAGTGTCGAAATTTAGTTATAAGAAGAAAGTATTCTCGAACTGATTGTTTGCGTTTTTAATGAAAAAATGGCCGTTCCAACACGTTTTACAAAGTGCCCTTAAATTCTAGCAAAAGCATGCGGGTTAGAATAAGAAGGCATTCAAACGTAATTTTTTCAACTTTTTTCTCGTCAGTAAATAAGAAACAATTGATAAAACTTATCTTGCTGTTACCTGGACCAGATAAATGTGATATGTCCATAATATCGTTGAGGTTTTCGTAAAAAGATTTGTTTAGAATCCCATAGAGTAACACCACATCTCATTTAGATCTAGATTTCTCTCTGATTCCTAATCTTGATTCTGGTAGTCGGTCAAAAAAAAGTTAGTTCCAGTTTCGATAAGCCTGTGTCAGACAGGTAATTTAAACACCTGTTGAAGAAGTTTTCTATAAATAAAAAACTCTCAAATTTCATTGATTTATTCTATTTTTCAAATTAGATTAAAATTAGTTTCAAATCATAATTGATTTTCGACATTTTTTTCAAAAATTTAAGATTAGAAAAACAAAGAACTTGTTGATTATGATGAAAAAAATAAAAGAAATTGATAGCTAACATTATAACAATTTGAATTTGTTCCATCAAAATGACTATATTTTATACAAGACAGAAGAGACGGAGAATTACAAATTAATGGTTGTAAGATAAATGCAAGCTTTTTTTAAGATAAATCTGACTGATTAAAAATATTTCCAAATGTATCTATTGAAAATGTTGAATAAATAATACAATTAATACATCTATTTAATGATCAAAATGATATTAAGATTTTATCTCATGATAAATAGAAAAATATATTATGTAATCAACTCTATTAAATTAATGTAAAAGTGTTTTTTGTAGAACTTTCATATATTTTCGAAGAATATAATGAGTGTAAATTTTAAATTGAAAGTTTTCGACTCCTCTTTTCATTATAGATCTTAGCAACTATTGGGTTGTCAACTAATTTTTGTCGTTTTTTTCAAAAATTTT